TGTAGTCCCAGCTACTCCGGAGGCTGAGGCAGGAGAATGGCATGAACCTGGGAGGCGGAGCTTGCAGTGAGCTGAGATCGCGCCCCTGCACTCCAGCCTGGGCGACAGAGCGAGACTCCGTCTCAAAAAAAAAAAAAAAAAAAAGTAAAAATAAATCAATGTGGTCGTGAAGGTGGATGGAAGGAGGGTCTTCAGGAGGAGGTGGGCTGGGCCTTGGAGGACACAGATAGAGCTCTGAGGCCTTGGGGAGGGCCCCTGGCGGCTGCCTGGAAGCCCCTCAGGTGGGTTTACCTTGCCTCAATCGTTGGTCCCGTAGCTGATAAGGCCACCATTTCCAAGTGCCAGGCAGTGGACTGGACGCTGTAGGGGCTGATGTCATTTAAATCTCCTAACAGTGGGGTGAGGATTATGATGCTCGTTTTCCAGATGAGAAAAGCGAGGCTCAGTGAAGTTAACTTGCTTCAGGTCCTAGATTAGCAAGTGGTAACACTGCACCAGATTTGTGTCGTTCCAAAGCCCGTGTTCTAACCTCTACTAAATTTTCACCCGTGGCTGGAGCTGATGTACTTTGTGTGTGAAGGAGAGAGAGAGAGAATTCTGGGAGTGGGCATGCATGCATGATTCTTAGGAACAGTATTAGGAAGCGGGGTGGCAGGTAGGTAGGCTCACACTGTCCAAGGAATGCAGGCAGACACACACACAACAGCCACGCAGACACAGGGACAGATGCTCGTGTAACACTAGACACCTCTACGTAGGAATGTCGACATCCATTTAGATTTTCCCACAGACACAAGGATACCCAGATATTGATTTGTAGAGCTGATGTGCAGATGGTTCTAGAACTGGGACAGCTGAGCCCCCCAGGACTGGGGCCCCCATGAGGAGCCAGGGGCAGGCCTCTGGCCTCTTGCCCAGCTGGCCAGCAGCAGGTAGAAGGGTTGCTATTTCCAAGAGAGCAGGCAATGGAGAGAGGAGGAGCCTGAGGTCCCCCACCCTGAGCTTTACTGCAGAGGAAATGCCTTCCTGAAACATCCCTGAGGCTCCGTTTCCTTAGCCGTAAGGTGGGGATTCATTATATCTACTTTGCTAGGCTTGGTTAGGATGACTTTAGCTAATGTCTGAAAAGCAGCTAGCAGACTGCCTGGCACGCTGTACTCACCAAGCAAATCATTTTTATTCATTTACTTGTTTGTCAAACACTTCCTGGCCCTCTTCTGTGTGGGAGCTTTGTGCTGGACCCAGAAAATGCAGAGAAGCGTAGGGCAAGGACCCGCCTCAAGGACACTGCTTCTGAGCCTTTCCCTGTTCCGGGGTCATCATGCCCATCTGCTCTGACTCTCAGGAACCTACGTGGCCTCTAGCACATCTGACTTGTGGTCCTCTCCCCCAGGAGGCTTTGTGACAGTCTTTGGCATCTCTATTCCCTTCCTCTTGAAGTTTGCAGGTGATAGAGATTGGGCAGTGGGAGGAGCCTTAAAATTCACCAGTTCCAAGCTTCCGTCCATGACAGGTCCTACCCTACCTGGTCAGGCTCCATTTCCCCTATTCCCATCCCCCTTTAATCACTGGCCCCAGCCACATGGGTTTCTTTCTGCCCCTTGGACACACTAAGCTCATGTAGGAATTTCTTTACCCTTGCAGTTCTTTCATCCAAGAAGGCTCTTATCCATGGATTCTGCACGGTCCATCCCACACTTGTGTGTGCATGAGCAGATATGCATACACACAGACACACACACACACACACACACACACACACATGCTTAGCATGTCTGGGTTTTCTCATTATTCAGGCCTCTGCTCGCCTGACACCTTTCCACAAAGGTCTTTCCCTCTAACCCCTCCTGAGACACTGCCCATTGCTCTTCTTGTTGGAAATATGACCTTTGTTGTTTTCCAAAAAATCTGCATGCTGGAGGAAGAGCTGCAGCGAACAGTTCCCATGTTCCATCTTAACATATCTGTTTTTACAGGTTCTTTTTATACAAGTGTGTATAACTGAGGTTCCCCGCACCCTAGCACCTTTCCAGAAGTTTGTTGGGCAGCCCCTGCTGGTGGGGGGAAGACCTTGTATACAGTATACATTTAAAAACCAAGGTGGGGCCAGGCACAGTGGCTCATACCTGTAATCCCAGCACTTTGGGAAGCCGAGGCGGGTGGATCACCTGAGGTCAGGAGTTCAAGACCAGCCTGGCCAACATGGTAAACCCTGTCTCTACTAAAAATGCAAAAATTAGCCAGGCATGGTGGCAGGCACCTGTAATCCCAGCTACTCGGGAGGCTGAGGCAGGAGAATCTCTTGAACCCGGGAGGTGGAGGGTGCAGTGAGCCGAGATCGCACCATTGCATTCCAGCCTGGCCGACAATCGCAAAACTCTGTTTCAAAAACAAAATAAAACACCAAGGCGGGTATGCATTTTGAAAGCAAGTAGAATAATAGTAAACAAGATAAAATATGCATTTGAAAAGAAATCTAAATGTATATTTTAACCACAAAAGAGAGTCACAATAATAAATGGGAGACATTGCGTTAGTTCAGCATTTATAACTACAATAGGTGACAAAGTTCTTTTGATGTCCGAGGCTGAGTTTCCCCACCATTTTCTCTGCGTGGATGTAGAGATCCACACGCTCAAGCCTGTCTATTCTTTAGGCTGTAATTACCACATAAGAGACACTTGAGGAAGGAGGACATAATGTAGGAAGGGAGAGGTTTTAGGTTGAAATTATCTGGGTTGTTTATTTGACCCAGGCTGGCTTTTCCTTCCCCGCCTGCAGAATGTAAACTTTGTGAGCGTCCAATCCTGTCCTTTCATTCCCCACAGTGTTCCCGTACCCAACACAGTGTCTGTGGAATGAGAGGCCCCCTTTGATGCCCACCAGCCCCTTCCTTTTCTGCTCACCTGTAGCTGGGAGAACTTGCTCCCTCAAATGGAGCTAACTGGTCTCCCTGTAGCTTTTCCCTCTGCCCCAGACCTCCCCCTGGACCCCTGCACATGTCATCAGAGAGAATGCCTCTGTCTGTTCTCAGATGGATCCAAATCGTGCATGTTTAAGGCCACGGCATAGAGGAGCCTCTCACTGGGCTCTTGCTGTTCAAACTCAGGAACGAAATGGATCCAGATAAATCCTCAATTGACTCCGTTGCTACTTAAACTCTTGCTTCTTACTATCTAAAACTCAGGAGCTGAACAGATGAGGATAATAGGACTTTCCTGACTATCCAAATTCTTTCTTCTTAGGAACGGAAAAGATTTGGATAGCAAGGGAGGTTTGTATATTAATATAGCATGTTCACATAGTATGCAAATATAGTAGATATGATAGATTTTATACCTTTAGTATCTGTTGATTGAGAAAATATACTGTTAATATAATTCAGGAATAATTTTAAGTGATTGTAGTTTTTGAATCACGGAAATTTTTACATACATTTGCTTTATACCTAAGTATTTTGTGTGTGCTATTTTAAATGGCATTATCATTTTCAAATTTCAGTTCATTTCTTGTATCTAGGAATGCAATTGACTTTTGCATGTTGATCTTGTATCCTACAATCCTGCTATACTCAGTTGTTGGTTCTGATGGTTTTTATTAACATAGATTTTGTAGGCTTTTTGTTTTCTGCATAGACAACAATTATGTCATCTGCGAATAAAGACAATTTTATTTCTTCCTTTCCAATCTATATCCCTTTCATATCTTTTTTCTTGTCTTATTGCAATAGCTAGAATGTCCTCCACATGCATTTGGAAAATAGTCCCGTATCCATGTTAGGAACACACAGTTGTGGTACATCTGGACTCTCAGACCCTCTTGCAGTAAATCCAGGGCCCGAGGGTGGGACATCGGCTCACACTGGTGGAGGCAGAGGATCAGAAGCTTAGGGAATCAGCCTTGTACCTAGAGGTGACCACTGAGTTGGTGCTCACTATAACCTCTGTCCTTTTGATGTCTCAGAATGTGCTTCTCACTGGGCTCCAAGCCATGAAGCACAAACTGGGTGTGTGTTTGGAAGTTTGTGGTGGGCCAGGCAGGAATGACAGGCAGGAGGGCTGTGTCCCTGGACGGCCTGGGCTGGCCCTCTCCCTTCAGGAACAGTTTATGCTCTGGAGTCTGGACTCAGGGCAAGGAGCAGTGCCAGCATCCTGCAGGGTAGGGGGTGTGGTGAACTGGGACTGTAGCAGGTATCTCTAAGGACTGCACCATCAGGCTCACCTGGCAGTGGCTGGGGAGGATGTCTACCCCCTGCTTGTTTATTGACAGCTACTGCTGGCTGGGTGGACTCCTCCAATATCAGTCAGAGTAGAAGAGTTTCAAAGGACAGTCTCTGCCAGGATTTTCATTGTACAGATGGAAAAACTGAGGCAGGTGCATTGCTGATACAAGAACGCAGGTCTCTGAGGGACAGGATGTGTGTGCCTGGTAGCCAGGGCCAGTGAAAGGTGAGCAGAAGTGTGTGATTTCTGGGCAGAAGCATTTAAGACTGGTGAGATTTTCTGAGCCCTTCTCCCCTGCTTGGATAGAACCTGATGTCTCCTTTTGGGCTGGTGACATTACAAAGTGGTGGCACTTTTGAGTGACCATGATGAGCAGAGCTCCCTTCCAGCCTGTGTGTGAGTGAGAAATGAACCACTGCTGTTTAAACGTCTGAGCTCATTTGTTAATACAGCAGAGCTTCCCCTGTGCTGACTGAGACACTGCTTGGCAAAGTCACCTTGGCAAAGGCTCTTAACTACCACCAGCCTCGGTGTTAGGACTTGCAAAATGGGCACACTCATTCCTGCTCTGCTGTGTTTACTCAGAGAAGCTTTTGAGCTTCAATGACAGCAAGGAGAGGGAGGTCTCTATGAGGTCTGAGGCCTCGGAGGGAGAGGGCACAGATGTGCAGGATGCTAACTGGCCTTTAGTCCGGTTGGGGTGGGGGGTCCTGGGTCACCTCCCTCGTACTGGGGCACCATCTCAGGCTTGGTTAACAGATGTGTTTCCTTTAACAGGTGGCCCTCCCCCGGGCGGCGGTGCCCCCTGGCACCTTCGAAATGTCCTCAGCGACTCCGTGGAGAGCTCAGATGATGAATTCTTTGATGCCAGAGGTGAGTGAACCCCAATCTCACATCACTGGCTGGGTGACCTTCCTAGAAGCCTCAAGAAGAGGATCCCGTTTGGGGGTTCGCATCCCTCCCCACTCAGACGTGGTATCTGCAGCTCCACACTCCATACTTACCCATCCTGTGCGTGTGCCAAGAGCAGGGGCTCAGCCTTCGCCTGTTCGCTGTTTGAAATATTTGCTGAACCTCTACCAGTGCTTCTCATGTGCCGGGAACTCTGCTAGGTGCCAGGGATCCTGTGGCAATCAGTTGCCATGTTGCTGCTCTCATCAAACTTATAGCCTCGCAGGAGAGGCAGACATCCAAGAACAGGACAGGAAAATACAATGACGAACGGGGAGCATCGCCACTAAGTAGAAGTGCCACCGCTAAGTAGAAGTGCCAGCTGTTTTAAGAGAGAACAGTCAGGCCAGGCGTGGTGGCTCACGCCTGTAATCACAGTGCTTTGGGAGGCCAAGGCAGGTGGATCACCTGAGGTCAGGAGTTCAAGACCAGCCTGGCCAACATGTGTGTTCCCTTAACAGGTGGCCCTGTGAAACCCCAACTCTACTAAACATATTTTAAAAATTAGCTGGGTATAGTGGTGGGCACCTGTAGTCCCAGCTACTTGGGAGACTGAGGCAGGACAATTGCTTGAACCCAGGAGACGGAGGTTGCAGTGAGCCGACACCGTGCTACTGAACTCCAGCCTGGGTGACAGAGTGAGACTCTGTTTCAAAAAAAAAAAAGAGAAAAGAGACGTCAGAGGGGCACCTAATTTAACATGGTGAGAAGGTTGTTAACACTCTCTGCAGAGCTAAGGAGGAAGACATTGACAAGGTGAAGAGAGGAAGAAAGAACCTTCCGGACAAAGGGCACAGCAGGTGTGATGGCCCTGAAGTAGGAGAGACAGGAACATTCCAGGAACTGGAGGAAGGCCGAGTGTCTAGGAGGTGGCAGGCAGTGGGGAGGGGTCTGAGAGGAGATGCTGCATGCACCTGTGAGCCGGTGCAACTTAAGATCAGCCTCGGCCGGGGGGCGGGGGCTCACGCCTGTAATCCTAACACTTTGAGAGGCCGAGGTGGGTGGATCACTTGAAGTCAGGAGTTCAAAACCAGCCTGGCCAACATGGTGAAACCCCATCTGTACTAAAAATACAAAACATTAGCCAGGTGTGGTGGTGGGTGCCTGTAATCCCAGCTACTGGGGAGGCTGAGGCAGGAGAATTGCTTGAACCCAGGAGGCAGGGGTTGCAGTGAGCTGAGATGGTGCCACTGTACTCCAGTCTAGGGGACAGAGCAAGACTCTGTCTCAGACAAAAAAAAAATGAGCCTCATATATGCAGGGAGGGTCAGAGTTTTTGAAAGACTGTTGCCAGTGTTCAGGTGAGAGACAAGGAAGGTGGGGAAATGACCTCTGCATCTCATCATGGCCAATCCACGACATAGCAAGGGGCATTGTTGACACTGGGATTGAAAAAAAGGGGCATCCGATGGGGTGGGCATTTCAGGCAGAGATCAGCCTGAGCGAAGGCTCAGAGGCGTGAGCACCCAGGCAGGTGCACGGGCACGGGAAGGTGGAGTCGGTCTGGAATTGAGCAGAGAAGGCAAACGGGGTCTTGGAAGAGAAACAGACTACATACTGGGAATTCATCTATACCCAGAGCAGGCACTTGGGATGTGGTCTTAGCCGTGCTGTCAACTAGTTCTGTGACCTTGGCAGGTCTTTCATCTTCTCTGGGCCTCAGTTTCCCTATCAGCTCTGTGCCTCCAACAATGGAGAAGACTCAGTTTGGGTGATTTTTAGGAAGCGTGACTGGGAGGTGGGGAGCTGTTCTGACTTGAGCCCCCCCGATTCTTGGCTCTGGGCGGGGAACCCCTTCCCTGATGCCAGCCCTAAACCAGCCCATTTGGGGCCTGTCTCCCATGGGCGTCTGATTAGAGTGGCTGCCGGGGCTGAATTTCTCCATAGCAACTAACCCACAGTGAGACAACAACGGCTTCAATATTTTGATGCTTGGAAGACTTTCATTTAAAACATTTCTGCAGTTCATCAGGGCTCTGCGTTCCCAGCTGACGACAGAGGCATCTGTGGGTGGCGCAAGGGTCAGCTCCATCCCTTCGGGCCCTGCTCACCTGCCGTCCGTCCGTGAGAGCAGCTGCAGTGCTTCTCACGCTGACGGCTGTCTCCCTGACCCCTCAGTTGTCTCCGTCCTCTCCCTCCCATCTCACGGCTCATTCTGCTGTGACATTGGCCCCACTTCTCACTCCTCCCGTGTTGGTGGCCCTGTGTTTTCTTTCTCATCATCCCCCGCTTTTTTTTTTTTTTTTTTTGAGATGGAGTCTTTCTTTGTAGCCCAGGCGGGAGTGCAATGGAGCGATCTTGGCTCACTACAACCTCCGCCTCCCGGGTTCCAGCCTGCCTCAGCCTCCCAAGTAGCTGGATTACAGGCGTGTGCCACCACGTCCAGCTAATTTTTTTTTTTTTTTGTATTTTCAGTAGAGACGGGGTTTCACTATGTTGGCCAGGCTGGTCTCAAACTCCTGACCTCAAGTGATCTGCCCGCCTCAGCCTCCCAAAGTGCTGGGATTACAGGTGTGAGCCACTGCGCCCGGCCACTTCCTTCTTTTCTTCTCCTTTTCTTTCAGGATATTAGACTCTCCCCTGTCTTTCCCATCTTCTGCCTCTCCACACACCCTACAGGACCTCATGTATCTCTGCAGCCTCCCTCCCATCTGCCCTCTTCCAGAGTATCTGCATTCCTAAGCCACAGGATCCGCCCCACAGGCTGCTGGGATCCTCTTTAGTTCTGATTTGCCGACTCCTGACCTCCTTTCCATTCTTCCCTGGACCAACGCCTTTGTGTGTTTCCTTGGCACAAGGCAGTGAGAGGTGAAGCCATCCTTTCTCTCTCTCCCAGGGGTCTGGTCCAGCACAGCCCAGCTCAGCCAGTGCTCTGTGTCTGGGGCCAGGTCATGGGCTTCTGAGCATCCCTTGAGGGGCTGCTTCCCTGCCCTCTGCTCTCCAGCCCAGGCTGCACCCTGACCCTGACCCTGGGTGTGGTCTCTGTCTTCCACGTGAGCAGGGCCTGGCACCCTGTGGCCTCAACATTTCCAACTCTCTAGTTGTGGTGAGGCCAGCACCATTAAACCCAGCCCGACTCAGTCATCCTGCACCAAAGCCTTCCAAGCTCGCTGGGTTCCCTCCATGAGTCCCTCAGATGACTCCTTGGCTGCCATGGATGTCTAGTCCAGTGGTTCCTGCATGCGTGGAGGTCTTCACAGGTGACCTTCTCCGTGTCTCCCTGCAGAGACCAGCCGGGCAGTGGGTGTCAGAGTCTCATTGCTGCCTGGGCAGCCTTCTGTCCCTGAGAGCTCCTGCATTTGTACTCCCTCCTCTGCCCGTAACCCCCGTCATGATCCCCCACCCCAGCCCACCTCACCTGATACAAAAATGACCAGCGGAATGAGAAACCCAATGGCATCTACACTGGAAGAAACTGCATTGCCAGGTACCAGCACTGACCGGGCCTGGGAACATTGTATCTCCCTCCTCAGTGCACTAATGGGGAAACTGAGGCCACAGCACAGAAGGGACCCCCCCCTCAGATCACACATCAATGTGGGAGTGCAGGGGCTGGAACCAGGGGTTTAGTGTCCAGGTCAGCCCTTTCCCTTTGACATGTTACGGATATTGGGACCATCCTACTTCCCTTGTGGCCATCAGCCCAACCCATTGGCCCAGCACTGGGGTTCACTGGGAGAGGTCCTTGGAGCTCATGGTCCGGGAGCAGAGGGGAGTTCTGGGTTCTGGGGGTCTCTGGTTGTGTATGGAAGGCGTGGGAGGGATTAGGGAACAGTCAGGCAGGAGTATTGCGCTCTCTGGGTCCATAACAACTCCTCGGCAGGGTGCCAGCTCCTCTGGCTAAGGTGGCAGGTCTGGGGCTCAGGAGTAATTAGGTGCTGCAGGGTGGGCTATGGCGTCCAGGCTCCCAGATTCAAAAGAAGTGTCACTCCCTCTGCTGCCAAGACAGGATATCTGGGGGACCATGGCCCAGCGGTGCCGAGGTTGGAAGATGTAGAGTAAGGGAAAACCCAGAGCAGCCCGACCCATTACAAGCCAGAGCTGGGAGGCTCCTCAAGGTTTCTGAATCCAACACCTCTGACTCACTTTACAAGCTGGGAAATGGAGACTGGGGAACCTTGTTCAGGGCCACACAAGGAGGCAGAGCGGGAGCTAGAATTCAGCCTCATTCATTCACTCTTTCAACAGTATTCATGGCACGTCTGTCCATCAAGTGCCAGGTGCTCTTTTGGGTGTGGGGGATACAGGAGCGACCTAGTCCTGCCCCAGCCAGTGGAGCTTATAGCCCAGTGGCGGTGGTAGGTGACAAATAGAAAGACAATACACAAGCAAATACATTCTATTAAGAATTACCATAGGCTGGGCACAATGGCTCACGCCTGTAATCCCAGCACTTTGGGAGGCCAAGGCAGGTGGATCACGAGTTCAGGAGTTCGAGACCAGCCTGGCCAACATGGTGAAAGACCCCCTCTACTAAAGATACAAAAAAGTAGCTGGGCGTGGTGGCACACACCTATAATCCCAGTTACTCGGGAGACTGAGGCAGGAGAATCGCTTGAACCCAGGAGGCAGAGGTTGCAGTGAGCCGAGATCATGACATTGCACTCCAGCCTGGGTGACAGGGCAAGACCCCATCTGGAAAAAAAAAAGAATTACCATAAATAAAATAACACAAAGGAATAAATGCTGCACCATATCACATATATACATGGCAAGTAAGCACGTGAAAAGATGCTCCATGTCATTCATCATTAGGGAATTATGTCATTATTGTAAATCAAAATCAAAACTGCAATGAGATACCACTACCTACTTATTAGAATGACTGATTAAAATAACTTACAAGGGGCCGGCTCATGCCTGTAATCCCAGAACTTTGGGAGGCTGAGGCGGGAGGATCACCTGAGGTCAGGAGTTCGAGA